ACACAAACACACATATATATATACACGTATGAATAAGATATGTATGTAACCATGTACTATAAATATAAATATAGATGAATGAAGACATGGGAAAGTCAATAAATAAATACATATCTGTCTATATCTATATCTATATCTATATTTATTTATATGTATATATATATACATATATATATATGTATGTATATGTATATGCACATGCATAAATATAAACAAATAGATAATAAATAAATAAATAAATATAAGTATAAACATAAATATAAATATAAATATAAATATAAAAATATATATATATATACACATAAACACAGACACACAGGCATGTGTAAGCCCGTGCAGACTTGCACACATGCCATAGCTACACATGAATTAGTGTGCGCATGCATCCTGCTCACGCACCTGTAGTGTGTATCTTTCAGTTTGCCTGTCACACCGGTTTCATGGGTGTGTGCTTTGATAGACAGAGTATCTGTCAGAATTCTTTGGCTTGTTGCCGAGGTGGAGAACTACATGCGCTGGATTCCGATGTGTGGCGACGGCCTCTTCTGGGCGGCAAAGTGGGAAGTGGTGTATGCTTCCTGGGGGAGCGTAAAGCGCGGCAAGAGGACCGACCAAGTAATACAAAGTGCGGAGTCGGTCGAGCTGGCAGCACTCTGGCTTTCGGTGCGATCCGCGAGCATGCTGCCAGAAGGGACCCCTGTGCAGGCCAAGTGGTCCCCGGAGCGTGAGGCCAACCCGCGCTGGAACCAGTCCCGGCGACGCACGAGCGCTTTGATGGCCTTGGAGGATCTCTCTAGGAGCGAGCCGGCCAAAGGGCTCCTGGCGCTAGAAGACTGGGCAGCGGCCCCAGCAGTGAAGGAGCAACAGGCTCCTTCCGACCTTCACCTTTGGCCCACTCTGGGTGAAGCTGACTCTATCGACAAAGATGCGGCCGCCGCAAAGCGGCTGGCGCGCAAGTGCTCTCAGAGTTCCCGCACGCCGTCGAGCTCTGCTGGCTCTTCGCCGGTGGCTGGCCCAAGTGTCCCACCGGACTCTGTCCCAACACGGCGGTGGGACCGAAAGCATTCGGCGTGACCGTTGGAGCTTGAGGATCCTTTGGGACCGAAAGTGGCCTTTGTACCTGCTTTGCACCGAAGATCGGAGCCTTCCAAAACCCTCGAAAGCTCCGCGAAAGCTCCGCTGAAAGCTCCCAGCGGAGGTCGCAGGGCTGCGGCCCTGCTTTACGGCCTGCCGCTTTCCCATGGCGGGCAAACTCCTCGGTGTGAGGATTTTGAGGGTCTGCGAGCGTGTGTTTCAGGATGTCCGGGCTGTCGGGTGTAAGTGTGCGGAGGTGCAGGGCATGTGGGGCTCCAAGGTGGCAGTATTTCGGTGATCTTGGATGACTTAAGGTGCAGGATGTCAGCTGTTTGTTTCTGTTCGCTAATTGAAAGTTGGGGCTGGTAGTCGGCTTACGACTCGGGCTTCGGCGGCTTGAGCTGACTAGCGGCTTGTTAGACATAAGGACTATGTGGGAGAGCTCTTGAAAACCCAACATTACCTGTGAGCCTGTGAGGCCTAAGACACATCTGAGGCCGGGACGAAGGCTGGTGTCAGCAGCAGCGCCGTGAGCTGCATCTCGGCTGGAGCTTTTTGCCGGAAGTTGATTTCGGGATCTAAGGATGTCAGGACTCAGCTCTTGGGGTTTGGGTTGGGGGATCTGTGGGTCAGGACTGAGAGATATACTCGGAGGATTCGTGATCGGGAGAGTGCGTGAGTAACTTACTGTTGGGACATTACATGCCATAAGATGTGCTCCTGTGAAAATGGTTGCGGCCCCAAGTTGAGGCCAAGTGACCCTAGACATAGTGAGCTGCGATTACTAAGTTTCCCGTACCGACACGTTCCGTTATCGGTTGCGGCTTCTGCAAAGGCTCTACAACTTCAGGCTTTCGGGTTGACATCCATGGCTTTGATGGGTTGGGCTCATGGATTAGGGCTCAGGGTTCCGGAGACACTTCTGAGAAGTGTTTGAAGTACAGAAGTTTTCTGGAGGTGCTCGGCCCCAACACTCCGAAACCCAACACCCCAGGCCCGACCCGCCTCCAGGCTCGAAGCCCCAGTCTTCACACCCGGAGCGCCCCCCAGTCTTGATACAGGCGCCATGTAGGAGTCATGAAACAGCCGCGCTACTCAAAAGGACTTGACCCCAAGCCTAAGACCCTAAACCCCCCAGAAAGGCACAAAAGGAAGCTCCCCCGTCCCTGGAGGCTTCAGGAGCTGCGGAAGGCGGGAGGAACAGGGGGAAAGAGCTCTCTGCTTGAAGCCAAGACGATGAGAATCCCCCCCCAAAAAATCCCAGCTCCTGGTGATGGTGGCGCCCACGAGCTGCGGGCGGCAACGGTTGCTGTATCTGCTTATACAGGGCCAGGGTGGACCTGGGTCTCTCGTGGCCGCGTGCCTTCGGACGTCCCAACCAAAGTAAGGGCAAAGGCAGTTTCAACAGGCAAGGGAGCCGCGCAGTACAACCCGGAACCCTGAAGCCGACACCATGTCCACCGGGAGTCTCACACCTTTCCATCTGTTCCCATCATCTTTGCGACTTGCGCAGTCGACCCCAACTCCTAAGTCTTCAAGCCTCAGCCCGCAAGCCAAAGCCCGAAGCCTTGCACGGGCTTTGGTCAGGTCGTGCAGATGCAGCGCTCCCACAAGAACTTGGGAACCCGCTGGGTTCGGACCCTATGCCTTCTGCCCTCCTTCACCATTGCCGTAGGCCGCCATCGAAGCCCTAAGAGCCCTGCAGCACGGAGGCCAACAGCTGAGCCTGAAATGAGCAGACTGGGGTCCAGCCTCGAGCTCCATCACCCTATCATGCCCTGAACCCCAAACGCGAGATAACGAGGCAGGTTCCTTCATTCTTTTCAATGAGAAAAGACAGAAGCCGCACACGGTGAGGATTTCCAGAGGCCTGTTTTCAATTCGTCTTCTAGCCCTCAGCTTCGGTTGCTCAGCTCCAGCCGGCCTTGGAGTTTCGAGTTTCGGGAGAAGTTTAGGGTGTTTTAGGCACCTTAGGGTCTGGTGGAAGAGTTTCGGGTGTAGGGTTTAGGGACTTTGGTGTTTTGGGTTCTGAAGCTCGTTAAGTGCAGGAATTCCACCTAGCTCAAGGACTCAGGTTATTCGATAGCAAGCCGAAGCCAAAAGCACCACGGAATATTCCCGACTTCTATTCCCAGAGCCCAAAAACTCTGGGCTGAAACGGTTAACCCTAAACCTAACAGCGACTGGACCCTCGAACGCTGAACAAGAAACGGGTGCCGCACCGTGAGGTGACGAGCCCGCACCTGCTGCGCTTTCTAGAGGTCTCACGGGGATTTCAGAGTCTCTTCGGACGACGCTTATCTCGTGGGTTACTGGTGGAAGTTCGCATTAGTGTCATCCAATGGTATTGTAGATGCTGCATAACTTGGAATTTGGGGGGAGTAAGTTGTTCATCTTCTCATTAGCCTTACAGCATAGTTGGGTAGACCCAGTATTGCGCTGTTTTTTCGGGAAAGCCGTGTTCTTCCGACAGTGTACACTCTAGTCACTGCCAGTAGAGAATGATGACAGTTTCCTCCCATATTCAACTAGCTACATACTACATATAAACCTCAAAGTGAAACGTCACGAACTATCCGATACCGGCATTTCGATCCTAGATCCTCTCCCTCTCCCTCTCTCCGTCACTCTCTCTCTCTCTCTCTC